CCCATCCTTTTCTATTTTTCTTTCCTTTCTGCCTCCCCCTTCCTCCCTCCCTTCAAGTAGAAAAGGGAGAAGACACATTTTTATCATACAATTTGTAAACCCAGAAAGGTATCTTGCATGTCTGATATATCATGACTACGTTTCAGTCCTGCTTCTCATCATTTTGAGTCACATCACCAAGAGCTTTTTTCAGAACTCTCATAAGAGCTCCTGAAAACTCCAAGCTTTGTTTGGTTTGCAAACTGTCTTCTACCAAAAACATTTTAGAATTCTCCCAGTGATGATACCAACAGAATAAAAAGAAAGAACTAAAGAGAGAATGAGGAGAGAGGCAGGTGACCCCTTTGGGTACCATGTTGAAGACCCTGGGGCCTAATATCATCACGTTATTACCGTATTGGTTTCTCATGCTTCCATGTATCGTGCTGCATAGCCAAGAAGGTGAGACCACAGCTGCTGTGCGTGAGCCGTTCTCCGGGGTTGCGTTTCCAGTGAGTACTCTTTAGAAAGAAGACAAGCCCCGTGTCCAGCATGAAGAGCAGACTCGCCTCTTGCTTTCTGTAAAAGCAGTGCATTCTGAAGCTTTGTGTTCCACAGCTGCAGTGCAAATGCTGCATGTCTGGATCTCTCTGCTTTGTCCCTGCGGATACGAGGACAAAGGGACCCAAGTGCTGATACCCATAGTGCTTGCTGTGCTAATGAGTAATAAAGCCATTTGTCCCCTTGTTCAGGAGGCTCAGATCTTCTGCTAGCATCTGTGAACCGTAACAGGTTAATTCAGCTTGCTTGCAAGTGGGGTAAAATCAACCCCAGATCCAATAATCATTACATGAAAATGATAATTGAGCAGGAAGGACATTTAGACTTAAGGAGAAAGCATCTTGCTTAACTTCACACAGCTACTAGCAGGACGAGAAACACCCTGGGTCTGGTGGACTGCAGATCTTACAGAGTTCACTGGCTGTTTTCAGTGCAGGGCTCTGTCTGGTCCATAGAGCCCACTTGATAGGAAATTAGCTGAGAACTTCACCGGACTGTTCATTAAGAAAAGTAATTGGTCTTATTTAGGGTGAGGGTTAAATCTGAAGCTACTTTCCCCACTGCAGCTCACTATCTTGCAAACTTTTTGGAGAATTCATCTACAAAGCTGCACAAGTGGTTTGTTTAGATTGAGTGAAAGCATTTAAATCTGATTATTATACTGTTTTATTGGCTTTACAGAGATGTAATTTTCCCATCAGGCTCCACTGCCTAAATAGTATAGATATTGCTAAAAATGAAACAAATACAGGGGGAATCACTGTAAGCTATTTTGGTAGGTGTGGTACAAGCTTTCCATGCTGGAGTAAAGGAAGAGGAAGTGACAGCCCCCCCTAGGGATGTGTCACTGCTGTACTAGGCAAGAAACTTTTGATTGGTTAGAAACAGAACATCACCCATTGATAGAAGATGACTGGGTCAGTAAAATACCCAAGGAGCTTGCTAATGGTACTCAGCACAGCACCTAACACAACTAGCAGTGCAGGCACTGCTAGAAGAAGCCTCGGATTGACCTAAAGAGGAACAAAGTTCTGTCACAGTCCACCTTCCTTTTTTGTTTTGGACCCAGGTCTCCCTGTGGACCTCAGCCCACCTGTAACCTAGGAGGATACTTGTGCAGGAACCAAAGCCAGCAGGGCCTTGGCACCACAAAGAGATGATTACAGATTCTGTCACTTACCTCGGCTTGTCATCACAGAAATAGAAATGATGACTTTTGTTTGAAATTAGCAGGTGTTGTTACATGCTAGGCTCTTACACCAAAAAATGAGTGTTGGGTGGCGTGATTGATGTTTTGTGGAAGGAGTATGAGCAGGAGTCCGAAGGGGATAAAAATAAAGAAAACCCAGCTTCTGTTTTCAGGGGACCCAGTTGAATGGAAGGGGTGCCAGATACTGGGAAGCAGGAAGGCCAAGACAAGGGAAAGTGAGTGCCCTATTTGGGGGCTGATCATGGAAGTGAGGCTAGGCCAGCTGGTGTGAACGGGCATTTGGTCTTGGACCAAGTTAGGGTTAGAGACAGCTCCGCTACCCTCTTGGCTTTTGACTTTGAGCACCAAAGGAAGAATAATAGATTTTCTCCCCTGCCACAGCCCAAGTTGGGAATAAAGGTGGCAGGATTAAGAGATTTTTTTTAAAGGCCGGGACGTGCTCCTGAATTGAATTCCACAAATTTTGTTTTCATTTTTCCTGGAGAATGAAAAAGAAATTTATTCCTCGTTGCAAATATTTAAGCATCTGTTGGGTTCATCTTCACAAAAGCACTAAAACGTGGGGAAGCCAAAATTTTCCTTCCTGTGACTGCTTTTGTTTTGGGCTTTTGCTTCATTTTGTAACATTAATTCTTTGATCCTTCCAACCATAAATCATTTAAGCGACTTTGATTAAGTAACCGCTTAACTTCCCAAACTCTTTGTATTGTGACAGTATTTCTTGTCATACACTGTAGAATTATAATGAGGTTTTACAAAGCAGGTTCAGACACCAGCACACCTGGACTCCCCTGGCATGCCGTGATTTAAGGCAAGTTCTTTCACCTCTTGGGGCTTAGCTGTAGCATTGGTAAGAAAAGCTTGGTATTTAATATACATCCCCTGCAGAGCCGGTGTGGGGAATTTCATTCAGTTAGTGTTTATAGGGGATTTTATTGGCAACCCCAGGGAGAGTGATGTCCATGAATATTTCAATATGCAATGGGAACTTTGCGGTGTGGGCCTCCTAGAAATGTTATAGAATGACCTGCTTTTGGACTTCACATTTCCCAGAGAGACCTCGCTCTGACTTCTCTGGAGACCAAGCTTTGCTCTTCTCCTAAGAAGTCAGAATTGTCACCACCCAAGCCAAACACACGGCAAACACCAGGCCTAACGCATGCTGCTTTGGTGTGGAGACTCCACCCGATTTTCTCCTTTTGAGGGTTAATGGAGGTGTGTGAAATGTGAAACCTCCAGTCCAGCTCAAAGGTTTTCTCAGACATTCTGGCAAATGACTCTTCATTTTGCTGGCCCTACTGCTTTATTGCAGGGCTGGTGACGCCCAGGAAGGCTCAAGTTTGGCTGTGCTGCAGAGGCTGAACTATTTCAGTCCGCAGTGTTTCCCTGCAACCCCTCTGTTCACCATAGCTATTACAGACAACAGTAAAACTCACTGAATGGACTCGGTTCAGATGCTTCCCATGCCTCTGAAATGACTGTTTCTCCACAAGAATGAAGGGCCAGTGAATTGTGGGCTGAGGGAGAGGTGGCAACAAAAACCATGGGCGTTTTAAGTTTAAGCTAATATTTAACATGGGATAAGGACTACTGGTAAATATTGATTTATCTTCCCTCCTCCTCCCCTCTGGGCTGAGTCTTGCCGCTCAGAACATTAAAGAACTGTTTATTATTCCACCAGCATTATAAAAACAATACTAGAATTCTTTTCCTTCTGTGTGTGTGTGTGTGTGTGTGTGTGTGTGTGTGTTTAAATGAAACTGAAAGCATCCAGTATCCCCGCAGGACAGAGTGACTGTGGGTGTCACGTGACACACCCACCAGAGAATGGGCCCCCCAGCTTCCCCTTGCCCGGGGCCTGCATCTTCGCCTGGTCTGGACCAGGCTGTAACTGCAACATACCTTACAAAGTTCTTGGAGCTCTTGGCTGTAATAAAGGTAGCAAGAACAATTGGTAGGAAGTGATCAAGTGCCCAGTGACCACGTGAGCCATCAAGAGGAGCCCTGTCCAATCAGATCCTTCTGTGCTGGCTGGGGATGCAGTTCAAGGGTAGAGCGTATGCTCAGCATGTGTGAGGCCATGGGTTCGATCCCCAGCACTGCAAGCAAATAAATCAGGAAGAAAGAAAAGAAAAATGGACCTTCTGTAGTGATGTGCTATGTCTGTACTATATGACTACCAGATCACACAGAGAGTTCTAGAAATGAAAGAAATCCATTGAGTTCTTGAAATGTGGCTCGTGCTGATGGGGAACGGAATTTTAATTATTTTTTTGTTTTGTTTTGTTTTTAAGGATTTAAGAGCTGGCTACGGTGGGGCACGCCTGTAATGCTAGCACTCTGGCAGGCTAAGGCAGGAGGATTGCTAGCTCAACCCAGCCTAGGCAACTTAGTGACTCGGTGAAATGCTGTCTTTCCAAAAGAAAATGTAAAAAGGCTAGGACTGTAGATCAATGTGAAGGCCCTGGGTTCAAACCCTAGTGCCAAAAGAATTTAAATAGCCACATGCGGCTAGTGGCTACCGTGTTAGATGGCACAGACTGATAGTTCCCTGAGTTAGTTCAGTCATATGTATAACCCACACATACAGCAAAAGTACAGCTAAAAACAAGAGTGTTCCGGTGTTACTTAGCCCCTCCTCCCTGGGGCAGTGGCAAATTCTGCAACTGTCTGGACCTCTCTTTGTAGTTGAACTTTGTCCTTTTGTTCCTGCTTTTCTGCTGTGCTCCACCTTGGATCATATTTCTCTCCCTCCCTTCATCTCTCAACAACTAATTGAGATATAATTCAATACTACATACACCAATTCCTATACTAGAAGTATACAATGCAGTGGCTTTCTCTATACTCACAAGGTTGTGAGTATAGCCACTGCCATTATTAACAGTAACTTTTTCATTACCAGCATAAACCCTGTCCGCGTTAGGAATCCCCTCAACTCCCAGCACTAAGCAACCACTGGTTTCCTTTCTGGCTCTAAAAGTTTGCCTATAGAATATTCCATATATATGGACTCATGCAATAACCTGTGATCTTCATGCACTTAGAAGAGTATTTTTCAAGGCTTATCCCTGTCATAGCAAGTACTAGTACTTCATTCCTTTGTGGCAAAGTAATATTCCGTTGTATAGATATACCACATTTACTTCTGCATTCACCAGTTTATGGTCATTTGCATTGATTTCACTTTGGGCTATTATATGAAGTGTGTTCCACCTTCTGTAACCAAAATGCTATAGAATAAATAATCTATAAACAATAGGAATTTATTGATTGTGGTCTGGAGGCTGGGAATTCCAAGATCAAGCGCTAGCAAATGCAGTGTCTGCGGAGAACTCACCCTTGGCTTTATAGAGGGCACCTTGCTAGTGCAAGCTCCCCCAGGCTTCTTGTTCAAGGCACAGATTCCATTCATGAGGGTATGTATGGTATCTCTATGCTTAACGTTTTGTGAATGCCAGATATTTTTCATAGCAGTTGCTCCATTTAACATTCCCATCGCTAATGGATTATGGTTGTGGTTTCTTTTTGATTATAGCTGTCCCAGTGTATATGAAGTGGTATCTCATTGTAGTTTTGATTTGTAATTCCCCAATGGTCAGGTTGCTCTTTCTGCCTGTCCAGGTACTTCCTGTTGAGGCCTTCTCTGCAGGTACATTTGCCTTGGGGATGCAGTTTTGCAAGAAAAGAGAAAATTCCACGTTAGGTGGTATTTAGTCATTTTTATGTTCAGCTAGATATTAAATATACTCACATTATCCTGAGTCACATTCCTAAGCAGAGCTGCCTCGCTTCAAAACAGCCTCAGTAAAACTACATAGTATAGGCTGAGTATCCCTTACGCAAAACATTTGGGACCAGAAGTGTTGCAGATTTCAGAGATCTTTGGATTTCACAACATTTACACATGTTTAAGGAGATACCGATGTATGGATGAGACCCAAGTCTAAACACAAAATTCACTTACGTTTCACTCAGTACACATAGCCTGAAGATAATTTCATAAAATATTTTAAGGAATAAAGCAATTTTAAAGTATTTTAAGTACATAAAATAGCATTTCTTGGTGTGGAATTTTCCAGTTAGCACTCCAAAGATTTTGAATTTGTAATCAGGGATGTTTGATCTGTATGTAGCCTTAGAGAATACCTAAAAGAATGAGTTAGTCCTAGGAGGAGTCCTGGGCAATTGTTTAAGTTTCCTTTAACAAAAGAATTTCTCCCAATGTCCTTTTTCAAATAGACATGAAAATTCTAAGCTCAAATTGGAGTGGCTTAACATGTTCCCAATGGCTCGAGCATGACTCTATTTAGGACAGTCATGCGTGTTCCAGTGGCGGTTTGGGGCCACCTGGCAGTGAGACATACAAATTATGATGCTGTTGTTAACATGTTCAATGATTTTATATGGATAGGGCTAGAATCAAAATGCTAACTGTCATGGTTACTTTTCTCTCGTTGCTGGGACAAAATACCTGATGCCCAAAATTAAGGAAGGAAAGGTTTATTTCGCTTACAGTTTGTGGAGGTTTCAGTCCATACTTGGCAGATTACAAAGCAGACTGGCACATGGCAGAGAGCTACAGCTAATGGCAACAGAACACAGCAAAAGCAACAACAACAAAAAAAAAAAAACACCAGGGCAGAATGGGCTCAAGCACCCTTTTCCTCTCCCTTACATATACAAACTATCCACCCCAGGGCGGGTGTAGCTCTCACACCCACAATCAAACGGCCACATGAGGCTTTGGGGGGACACATAGACATAAACCATAACACTCACATAGGGTAACAATAGGCAAAAATTGAGGTGTAAAGCACACTGCCACTTAGAACAGATGGTCTGCCTACAGAGGCAGTGCCCCTCTGCTGTCATGAGTTCAGGATCCATAGGCCCATCTCTTGAATAACTATGGAATGTCTATGCCATGCCAGGAGTAGGCTTTTGGATTAGAACTCTGAATAAAATGGACCTGGGCTCTTTTTTCAGAGAGCTTAGCTGTAGAAATATTAATCAAACCACCAAACTGGAGAATGGTATAGGATCCTCTGTGACTGAAATCATCTATGCTTGAATGTTCACCAGTTTTTTTCATTCATTCTTTTCAAAAAGTAGAGCCATAGGAAATGCTTTATCCTGGCATAATTTACCTAGATACGACGTCAGGACCACGTTTCCCCTAGCATCTTGGGAGGGCAAGAAGAAACGTGTTTGTTGGTGCCGTTTCCTGTCTTCCTTGGTTTTCTATTTCCGCTTACCCTCTAATACCTGCATTGGTCAAGTGCTGCCTTTCCACTGGGACATCACCATCACTGTTACTTTCCTGACGGCTTCTAGGCACACGTCTTCCATTTCTCCCCTGAATTCCTGTAGCATTTTGTACCTGCTAAAACACTGGCATGTTGCAGAAGGAAAGTTTCTTTCCTATCAACTTTCTTTGCCAGTCAGTGAGCACCTCGGAATGAGGTTTTGTATCTGAGTTGTTTATATTTCACTTCCAAGCACAGCATTTTACATCTCGATCAACAAATGATGAATGAAGGGAGGAACAAAGAACAAACATATAAAGAGTCAAAAGTCATAGAGGTCCAGATTCTTTATTCTAGCTGGAATGAGATAGAAATGTATTGTCGACTCGTGATCCTAGGCTACAATTTTTTTATCAATCCCTACTTAATGGGGACAATTATGAATACCTTTTCCTCTTGGAACATTTATTTCAAAACCAACAAAAATGAGATCAGGAAAGATGACAAGAAGTCATTCACCAAAGACCTTAAATACCAAAGCCAAAGCTAATATTTTATCCTGGGAAAGAATCCACCTCCTACCCCACAAAATTATTTCTTGGGTAAAGAATATGGTACTTGGTCTTGCAGTTCACAAGAATGCCTGGACATGCAAGGAATGAAAGTGGGCCAGGCCCAGGACAGTACCAAATGTCTGAAGCTGTGTTCACCATCCAGAGTAGAAGCATCTCTGGACCCTGAAGATAGAAGCAAGAGTATGAGGCAGAAGTGGACAAGGAAGGATGCTAGGTGGAGAACAGGACTCTGGATAAGCAACAAGTCACACAAGAAAAGAAAAACATAAATGCTACTTGCAGGAGTTTTCCAAGCCTAGCATTTTGGGAAGAAGGAAAGTCATAGAGATCCAAAATGATCACCTCAACAGAAACTGATGGAAAAATGATACTAGGCAAGATGAAGAATCAAAGTGATCACACCTTAGGCCATGTGTTCATGTAGCCCTGCACTAGCACTCGAAGATGGTCAAAGCTGATGACTTCCATTTTTCTTAGCTCATAGGAGATGTGCAGATCTTGTCAGTGTTTTTAGCCCGAGTTTTACCTTTTCATATAAGTAGCAGGACAGAGTTTCCTGAACCATCACAGCATTCTCTAATTTGCTCCTCACTCTAATGTAGGTAGGAAATTATCTTTAAAACTATTTACATGACCAAGAACTTCTCTGGAGAAGATAGATAGATAGATATAGATATAGATGTAGATATAGATATAGGTAGATGTAGATATATAATCTTAATAATAAGAAGGCTAACAACTAGTAAAATGGACAAAAAGCTTCTACTGATACTTAGCAGAAGAAGACGTATGAATGCCAATAGTTACAAGAAGATGCTGGACAGCATAAGCATCAGGAAAATGCAAGTGGGAACCTTGTAGAGCCATTCATATGACTTCACTGGAGATACCAAGTGCTGGTGGGGGGACGATAAAGCGCTCATCCACTGCTGGTAAGCACGGGAAATGCACAATCACTGTGGAGAGCTGACCTGGCGATTCCATCTCTTAAGTATTTACTAAAGATAAATCACAACACGCGCACACACACACACACACACACACACACACACACAGCCCTAAATGTTAATAGCCGCTCTAGTCATAATAGCTCAAAACTGGGAGAAAAAAAAAAAACAAACATCTATCAATAGATGAATGGATAAACAAATTTTGGCTTATGCATTCAATAGATACACTCAGCAATAAAATGGAACAAATTATAAACACAGCAACACAGACAAGTCTCAAAAACATGTTCATCAAAAGAAGCTAACACAAGAGAGTTGATCTATAGGATTCAATTTCTATGCCATTCGAGGATTAGTAGACCTAATCTCTGGTGATACAAATCAGGAAGTGGAAGGAGTAATTTGCAGCGCTGGACAGATGTTGGAATGGTGATAAGCTTCACCCTCAGAGCAGATATTAAGGTTCCTCTTCTATTGTTACCTACTTCAGCTAGGAAATAATAAACCTGTTTCATTCTTAAAACCTCTTCACAATTCTTTATGACACTATCAGCATATGATCCATTGCAAAACACACAAAAAAATAGAAGATACAAAGAAACTTTTAAATCTCCTTTGGTCCTCCTATCCAGTGATAATTTATGTTAATTTTATTGTTCTTTAGGAAGAACAATATTTGAACAAAAATAGGGGCATACCATATGTTCAGCTTTGTAATATGCCATTCTAACCATAACCAATGGACATTTCTGTTAGACAGTATAAATAACCTTCATGAATGGATGTATCCAAATTTGTTTATCCAAATCTTGGCTGTGATTTATTTTAGTTATTTCCAGATTCTTCCTCCTGCCTATTACCCTCCCAAAAGAGAACATCTTGAACATTTTGTTTGTTTGCTTGCTTGGTTTTTTTTTTTTTTCCTTAGTGTTTCTTTAAGGAAAGTTCTAGAAATGGAAAGTATGTGTCAAAGGCTTTGACATCTTGAAGGCATTGAATGCCTCTTGTCCTGTTTTTCTGTTGAAATGGTTTTACCACTTTAACTTCTCATCAGCAGCAACTGAAAGTCTTCCTTCATGTCACCTTAACACATGGACTGTACCCTGTGCTGGGTACCCCACCCCCCGCTTCTCATAGAAGCACCACCTGTCAGGATTAGAAATTGGCCTTTCGTGTCCAGTTCCCTAGCAGTGCCCCAATCCCTTTTGGATTCTGCTAGCTTGAAATGAAGAACATCTCTTTTAAAATCTTAATTTGACTCTGTGGTACTATTGCAAGTATGGTGATTATACCCAACACTTATGCGCTGTACCTTTCAAAAAGCTAGAAGAAAGGATTTTTAAAACATTTCACCACAAAGAAATGATAAACGCTTGAGGAGTTAGGTGCCTTTAACGTGATTTAAATCTTGGGCAGTTTATATGTGTGTTAGACATCACATGCCATCCCATTCATGTGTGCAGTTCTTACATTTTTGTGTATCAGTTAAAATTTTTAAAAACTTAATTTGAGAAGACCCAACTGGTGTTTGAATGCTGCAGAAAAATCAGGGGGGCTAGAAAGAGAAATGATGCCAGGGTCATAAGGCCTTGGTTTCAGGGCTGGCTGCAACATTATCACTGCGTGACACAGGCAGGCACCTTACTGACTTACCCTGCCCGGGCTTCAGTGCCCGCATCTCCGGGGTCAGAAGACTGCGGAGGACCTGGACTCACTTCGTCCAGTTACGGAGTTCTTCAAATCCTGTCCGATGCACAACCTTCCTCTCAAAGGCTGGCCCTGTAAATTGAGAGTGTCAGGCCTTTGAAATGCAGCTTGTGTGGGAAAGGAAAAAACCCGGCAGCTAGTTTGCTGCTGGATCAGAATTCTCTGTTCTTTGTGAAGTAATAAATTGTGTCTTGGCTCCTGGGTGATTCCAGGTTGCCCTCGGGTTTGGCGGAAGTGGCTTGACTTTCAGGAATGGTTCCCATTGCCGGAAAGTGGGTGTTAATTTGTGCCTTGGCTATTTTTCAGGGCACTCTCTGGCAAAATCCTGGCTTCTTTTCCAGAGGATCAGCAGATGTAATGACCTGAGGGTGTCTCTCCTTGCAAGAGGACAGCACTCCACATTTATGACCCAAGGGAAACCTATAGTCAGAAGCCTGGGTTTTATAATCCTGGGCCTGAGTAGGGTTTGGGCTCAAACACTCCCATATGCCATGGGAGACAGAGAACTACAAGCTTCATAGCGGTTACGATTCCTTCACCAAGTTTTATTCGTGCATCCCTGAAATAGGGTCCAGGTGGAGTCCTAAAAGGGAGATCGTGCGAAGGAACAGAGGGAAAAACAAGACAGAACAGCATTTGTATTCAGTGTTCTACAGTTCGCAGCCCACCTTTACAGGCCCTACTCACTTCACACAGTGTTTCCAGGATGTCACAATGGCGGTTTTGCCCCAACTCACCTAGCAGACATACGCAAGAGCTGGAGTGTGGGTGGTGAGTGGCCCCATCTCATCCATAGCAGCCTCAGAGCTCAGCTTGATGTGCCTCCATCTGTGCTTTCTTGGCAGGTGTTTGCGGTGTCACACCTCTTTTCTGTTCTGTGTCACTCTTTTTGGGACAAAAACTGAAAACAACTCTTTTTCATCGTCTTTGATTGCACAGTAGCTAACTACAGTCTTCTGCCCGCTTTCAGGATAACACTGCCTACTCTAGTATCTCCCAGACTTTAGTCATTTCCATACTGTCTTTACAATTTAGGCCACGTTGTGTACAGCCTGTACTATTACTTACACTGTTTCAAATAAAGGCACTATTTCATCTTTTCTGGTCTTAACAATACAGAATCAGAAATCATCCATTTGGTATAATCCCAGTTTTCTAATATGTGTTATATAACTTTTACATTTCCTAAGTGTTCACTTTTGGATTGTGTAGTATATCTCACTTTTACCCCCTTTGATATATGTACCATACTGAGAAATTAATTCTGATAAAATAAAATTTAAATTCTCAGTTCTTTTGTTGAACCAGCTACATTGTAAGGGCCCCATACCTACAGCAGCTAGTGGCTACCACATTGGACAGCACAGATAGAGAACACTGTATCAGTGTGGCCAGTTCTGCTGGACAGCTCTCTTGAATCAGAAGATTCCCCAGGCCACTTAAGGCTGAAGTACTGTGAGTACTTTTATCAACCCAAGCTAAGTGAATGTGTGGTGAGATTATCAGTAGAACTGCGAAGTAATTTAGGAAGTCATAATAGTTTCTCCTAATGACCATTTCCCAAGGAAGTAGTAAGGCCAGCAAGAACACTGACAGTGAGTCCGAAAGTCACCTCAGTGTGCACTAAACCTCTCTCTCCTGGCCCCGGATTCCTCCCCTGCATCCCCTCAGGCTCCCTCTTTTCAGTGGATGTCTGTGTGTTTTATCATTCGTGCTCCTTCTTCCTCTTGCCCCACCTTGGATCGCCTGACATCACTTTCGTTCTTACTTAATTCTTCCTGCCTCTGGTCAGAAATCTCCACAGTGCAATACTCTGTGTGTATCTGGACTTTGTTTTGTTCTTCAATAACAGTAATTTCAGACCCGAGGAAGTTACATGGTCAGTAGTGACATGGATAAGGGAGGCCTGTAGCAGATTCCACAGACACACACTAGACACATGTGTACCTCACCGTCAGCAACTCAGTGTCAGCGTGCCTAAAGCTGACCATGTCCTGCCAAGCCTGTCTGCCCCTTCTTGATGCCACCACAATAGACTTCTCACTTTGCCCTCCTCCTCACCCACAAGCCCCTGTAAGGGACAGGAGAAGCCGAGGCCTCCCTTTGTGGAATGGATGGCTTTTACTGAGCTGGCTGAATAGGTCGGGACTGTCTTGAAGGCTTGATGCCACTTCTGTTTTTTAAAAAAACACCCCCTGCCCCTGAGCTGTGCAGCTGCTAGAGGGTCCTCAGAGGGAGGGAAGTGCTCAAGAGACAGATGTGCGCATCTTCTGTGGAGGAGCCAGGAATGTTGAGGAGAAGAACAGAACAGACCCTTCTCCTTTTGTTAATTGCCAGAGACCCTAAGAGGAAAGTAAAGAAGAAGCAGGGCTTCCAGCCCTCAGAAATGAGGCTGCTTTGGGGAAAACGTATGCATTATTTGATTGCACAAAATAAACCCTTCCTTCCTAGGACAGAGTTGAAAGTTTCCCTTACACTGTGCAGGAGAACATGTTCTATTTTTCCCCTGATTCCTAATATACTCACTGAGGCTATGGAAAATTCAGTTCCCCTTGCTAATTTATATAAAACGTTAGAATACCTAGACATCCTTCATTTTTTGGCCTAAAATCCTTAAATATGGGCTTAATTATTCTCAGGAAGGTGACGTGATGCTCTGTTCTCTCGCTTAGACAAAGAAAGCATTTTTCCCAAAGTGGAAGTCCCTACCTGGTTGGGAATGCAAGGGACATCCTAGTGCCATGGTGGTGAACCTTTTAGAGACCAGTGCCCAGACTGCAACCCGAAATCCACTTATTTATCACAAAGTGCCAACACTGCAATGAAACCTGAATACTGAGGTTTTGGTTTAGAAAAAAAACAACTCATACATTAACATCTTTTGTCTTAAAAGAAAAACAAATAACACACATGCCATAGTTTGCCATACTATCCTAGAGGCTTGGTTTTGTACACCTCCTCTGAAAAAGAGAAACAGACCTGTCTTAGTTACTTTTCTCTCATTGCTGAAACAAAATACCCAACACCTAAAGTTAAAGGAGAAGAAAAAAAGCAAATCAAGTAAAGTTAAAGGAAGAAAGGTTTATTTGGATCACAGTTTGTAGAGGTTTCAGTTCATAACTGACTGGCTCCAAGGCAGAGTAGCATGACAGACAGGCATCACAGAGCAGAAACAGTTCATGGCAGGCAGAAGGTAGCAAAGCAAGCGAGGGACTAGGCAGTTCTCTTTCTGTGCCTTATATTATATCCAAGCTTACAGGGATTAGGGTAGTGCCAAACCAATCCATGGACTGATTAATCACCTACCTTTAATCCCAGTACCCTTAATCCTAGCACTGTACTATGAAGCAATCACACCGTCTAGATTCAACCACCTCTGAAAAAGCCCCTCCTATGACTGCATGAGGATTTGGGAGAGGACATCTAAACACAAGCCATAACAAAATCCAAGTGTCGGTGGTCTTAACTGTAGTAAGTTGAAGGTCCATGTCTTCCTCTGGCTCATAATAACTATAAGAACTGTTCATTGAGTGCTTGGACTTTGCCAAGCAGTGGGTTAGGTGCAGAGGACACAATCTCACCGATCTCACCGCAATCCTGATGGTGTGGCTCCCCTGGCTCCCCTTACCCGAACTTTACTTGGAGGAATCTGAGTCTCAGAGCAGTCATTATGCTGTCAAAATCACACAGCCAATATGCTAGCAGAGCCTATGTCCATACCTGGCTCTGTCCAGTGTCAGAGCTTCTGGCCTTTGGACTCCATTACTCTGTGTTTGTTTATTTAGCAAATGCTTACTGAAGATCACTGTGGGTCAGGCACCATCCTGGGCTCGGGGGATTCCGCATGACCAATAAAGCCAAAATCCCTAGTCTTGCATCCTGGAGGAAAGGTAGAAAACCAGAAAGTTTTTTTTTTTTTTAAAAAAAAAGCCCAAGACCATAATTTCAGATGTTGATAGAGCCACAGGACAGTAGAGAAAGTGAAGTGACAGTGACTGTGAGGCTGCTTTAGCACCAAGAAAAGACACCCTATGTCAGGCCTTGAGATGCAAGGGGGTCCTCAGGGTCCAGCGAGGCCCTGCGAGCAGGCACAAGGGAAGGGGACATTCAGGTAAGATGTGGCCACAGGAAAGTCCACTGCGGCCACTGAAGTGGTAAGTCACAATCTTGGGCACTAGTTTCTCTCCAGCATTTGTGACCTGACAGTATCCTAAGTGTCTTTGCTCTTCTTGGGTGATTCATTTCATCCTCTTGGTAATCCTAATTGGTAGGTGCCATTAGCGGCCCACTGCACACAGAGGTGAGAGCTCACAGCTACCAAGCAGTGTGGGACGGACTGCTGACTTCAGAAGTGGAAAAGAGAGGGCTTGGGGCACAGCTTTCCAAAAAGAATGAAAGACTGTAAGTAACACACAGTTGGAAGAGAGATCTTCAGCATGAGCAGGCAATATCTTCCTTCCATGACTATACTGATTTTGTTTTGGTTTGTTTGTTTGTTTGTTTTTGAGACAGGGTCTCACTATGTAGTTCAGACTGGCCTTGAACTTACTATGTAGCTCAGGCTGGCCTGGAATTTACAGCGATCCTCCTGCCTCAGCCTCCGGAGTCCTGGGATTCTAGGTATGCACCACCATGCCCAGCACTAATACTGATTTTGAAATGTTGGTAGACCAGCTATCAAAGTTGGGGAGGAAACTGAAGGTGCTGCACTTGGGGAAAAAAAAAGGGTGGGAAAAGAAGAAACTGATGTGAATAGAGAGAAAGAAATCATTGGTTTACCTAACTTGTTTTCCACTGCTTAGTTTAAAAGTTGTTTTGTTTGTTTTGTTTTTTGGTACCGGGAATTGAACTCAGGGCCTTTCTCTTGCAAGGCAGGAACTGTGCTGCTGAGCTACATCCCCAGCCCTTAAAAGTAACACTATTTCAGTAACACTTTCTCCACTTTGAAATTTCACATCGTGAACACCTAAAAAGCTGTCTCCTTCTCTACTCTCCCTGACAAAACAATAACAAATAAATTGGTGAGCGTATGGATAATTTTTGGTTTTAGTTTTCTGTGATTTTAAAA